TTTAATGAGGCTTATTGGGATTAGGTGATAAATGGAGTTTTGGTTTGAAACCATCTCATAGTGAGTGGACCAGTGGCTCTGTGAACCCAGCTGTGATTTTTACCCCAGGTCCTGCATATGTTATTGGAACAAACAAATTTAACAACTAGCAGAGCCTACACAGGTCTGCTTGACCCATGGAATGAGGACTACTTAGGGTAAAAGGGCCAAGAGAAAGCTCCTGGAACTTCACACCACCACCACCTCACACACTAGACTAGTAAACTAAAAGCAGTACTGTAAAAGGGATGGGTCCAGAAGAAGGATAAGGTTTTACTGTGAACCCCGTCAGGTGGTAATTCAAACTGCAGTTTTTTCAGATGTGGTTTCTTTATTAATGCAAATCAACACAGTCTTCAGCACTTTGTATCCAGCTCTTGGTCTAGAAAACGTTTATTCTATACATCAAATTAATAAGAATCACCAAAAGTCTTTTTTTTTTTTTTGTGATGAAGTTTTCTCTGTCACTGAGGTTGGAGTGCAGTGGCGCAATCTCAGCTCACTGCAACCTCTGCCTCCTGGGTTCAAGCAATTCTCCTGTCTCAGCCTCTCGAGTAGCTGGGATTACAGGCACATGCCACCACGCCCAGCTAGTTTTTGTATTTTTAGTAGAGATGGGGTTTTACCATGTTTCTCAGGCTGGTCTCAAACTCCTGACCTCAGGTGGATCCACCTGCCTCGGCCTCCCAAAGTGCTGGGATGACAGGTGTGAGCCACCGCGCCCAACCTTATTTGCTTTTACTTAACAGGGCAGTAGCATATCACTTTCTTCCACGGGACTATATCAGCTTTTCTTTTTCTATCATCTAGTATGTAGAGACCTTGATCATCTTGATTATCTATAACAAAACATTGATCCACTACATTGATGACATCATGCTGTAACTAATGAGCAGGACGCATCAAGTACACCAGATGATTCACTAAGATCCAGGCTCGTCAGAGGGTGGCATGTAAACGCTATGAACATTCAGAGTCCTGGAAGCTTGGCAAAGTTTTTAGCAACCCAGGGATCTAGGAAATGTCAGGATATCCCAAGTGAAAGATAAGTTGCTGCACCTCCTACTAAGAAAAAGGCACAATTGGTGGCCCTCTTTGGATTTGGGAGGCAACATACACCCATTTGTTTTTATTTTTGTCTTTGTTTTTGGTGGGAGTGTTACTAAATTGACCAGTCTGGTCTCGAACTCCTGAGCTTGAGTGATCCTCCTGCCTCAGCCTCTAAAGTAGCTGGGATTACAGGCATGTGCCACTGTACCTGGCACTTGTGTACACTGGAGCCAGGTACATTTGGAGCATTTGTGTACACTGCTCCAAACCATTTACTGAATAACCCATAAGACTGCCAGTTTTGAATGGATCCCAAAGCAAATTCAGGCTGCCGTGTAAGATGTTCTGCGAGTTCAGCCTTATGACCTAGAAGATCCAGTGGTGTTTAAATCACCTGTGACATAGGCATCCGGTATGGAGCTTCCAGCAAGCACTAATAGGAAAATCTCAGTGCACATCCCTAGGACTTGGAACAAAGTCATGTCATCTTCTGCAAACAATAATGGTCCTCTTGAGAAATAACATCTGGCTTTCTACTGGGCCCTGGTAGAGACTGCACACCTGACCAGGAGACACCAGGTGACTATGCAACCTGATCTCCCCATCATGAACTGGGTATCATCTGATCCATCAAGCCATAAAGCTAGGCATATACAGTAGCATCATTCTACCATCAAGTGAAAGTGACATAGCTCAGACGATGGCATCTATTTCACCACATTGCTGCCTCTTCCTCAGTCAACACCAGAGGCCTTATGGCAAATGCCCCATAATCAGTTGATGGAGGAAGAAAAAACTCAGGCCTGGCACCACCTGGAAGTGGATAGTTGCAGCACTACAGAAATGCTCCGAAAGGCATTGCAGAAGGCAAATCCTCGCAGTGAACAGAATTTCAAGCAGTATGTCTGCTTGTCTGCTCTATCAAGCTAGAGACAGAAGTCCAGGAATACAAATCTGTACATATTCGTGGGACGGATGGTTTGGGTGGATGCTCATGAACATGGAAAGAAGATTGGAAGATTGATAATAAGGAGCTCTGTGGGAGAAGGAATGTGGATGGACCCCTAACAATGGACACAGAATGGGAGGGTATTTGTGTCCTATGCACATGTTCCCCCAAACAGTACCCACTGCAGAGGAAACCATTGTTCAAGAAACCAATGGACAAGATGCCTTGTTCTGTAGCTGTCTGTCATTCTCTTTCCCCAGCCACTCTAGTGCTTGCTCTATAGGCTGTTGTACAAAAGGGCCATGGTAATTGAGCTAGAGGTTATAGATGGATACAACAACACGGACTTCCTCTGATTAAGACTGATTTAGTGAATACCACTGCAGAGTGCCCAGTGTGCACAATTCCTAATATGACACCGCTCGCCATAGGAACCAGCTCTCTGAGAGCAGATAGGTCACATTGAACCCCTTCCATCACAGAGGAAGCAGCAGTTTGTACTCACTTATTCTCTGTATGCGTTTGACTTCTCCGACCACTATATCCATGGACTTATGAATGCCTTGGTTCCAGTGTTGGTATTGCAGATAACATTGCTTCTGACCAAAGAGTTGCTATTACCACAAAAGAAATTCAGCAATGTAGTTATACCCATGGGATATTGTGGCCTTACCATGTACTCTCTTATCTAGAAGGAGCTGGTCTTATCGAATACTGAAATGACCTCTTGAAGACTGTTACGGTGACAGCCAGGAGACACTGCAATGTGGAGTGCTGTCCTACAGGATACAGTATGTACTTTGAACCAACCACAGTGCTGTTTCTCCCACTACCAGAGAACACGAGTCGAGTCTAGCAATGCTGAGGTGGAAGAGACTCTCACTATTATACAAATAACCCATTCCTAAAACTGTTGCTTCACATCCCTGAAGCTTTGGATTTTAATAGTTTAGAAATTATAGCTCCCAAGGGAGGAGTCCATCTATTGAGGAATAATTCAGTGGCTCAATTAAGTTAGAAGTTGAGACTGCCACTTGGCCATTTTGAGCTCCTCATACCCTTAAAACTGCAGGCAAAGTAGTGTGTTTCTCTACAGGCTGGGATGATTGAGCTGATTACCAGGGCTAAACTGGGTTACTCCTGCACAACGATAGCATGGAAGAATAGGGGATTGTCTGCGGTGCCACATAATACTTCCACATCCGATAGTAATGGAAGACTGTAGCAATCCAAGGACCACCAGAGTCTGAGTCATGTCACCAGGTAAAATACCCTAACTAACTGAGGTGCTGGCTGAGGGCAAAGAGAACCTAGAATAGCTAGTGAGAAAAGAGAAATTACAAATATCAACAGTGTCCTTGGAATCAATTACAGAAATGAGACCTATAGCAGTTCTGAGTATTTTCTTCTTTGCTTGGGGTGTGTGTGTGTGTGTGTGTGTGTGTGTGTAATTGACTATAGGGAATGCTAGTGATGGTCACATTTATGTTTTCATCTGTATATTATAGTAGATTGAGGTATGGGTGTGATCTCTAGAGCTAGAGGAGGAATGAGAAGAGAATCCACCATTATCCAGAGCGATGTTACTGACTGATGGGGCTTTGTGAGTCTCATTTTTGGAGAGAGGGTTAGCACATCCTCACTGCAGGAGGGCAGTAGATCCTGTGAGGATTGAGTATGTTGTTGTTCTTGAGCAGAAATTGAATGAAGAATGGGGAGGATCTGTGTGAATGCTTGATTTTTTTGTTTGTTTGGTTTTTGAGATGGAGTCTCGCTCTGTCGCCAGGCTGGAGTGCAGTGGTGCGATCTCGGCTCACTACAACCTCCGCCTCCTGGGTTCAAGCGATTCTCGTGCCTCAGCCTCCTGAGTAGCTGGGATTACAGGCACGCGCCACCACACCCAGCTAATTTTTGTATTTTTAGTAGAGACGAGGTTTCACCATGTTGGCCAGGCTGGCCTCGAACTGCTGACCTTGTGATCCGCCCGCCTTAGCCTCCCAAAGTGCTGGGATTACAGGTGTGAGCCACTACACCCGACCTGTGTGAATGGTTGATTAGCCAAGGGGATGGATGGTGCCAGACAGTGTTCATGGTCTGTAAGTTCCACCTTTGCCCTGTCTTGGCCCTGGATGACTAAGCTTTCTTTTTACCTTGATGAAAAAGATGTGCAAATTCTTAATACTTTTTTTTTTTTTTTGCAAAATAAAGTAAAACTATGCCTTATATTCTATACATTACACTCCTGATTTAAGGTTACTTGGGCATTTAAAATACATTTTTCCCTCTGGGAAATTGGGGTGGGGGGCATGTGTCCTGGGTGCCCCCTGAGGTCCATATGTAGGTTTATTTTATTTTATTTTCTAGAGATGGGGTCTTGCTATGTTGCCCAGTCTTGTCTTGAACTCCTGGCCTGGAGCAATTCTACCACCTTGGTCTCCCAAAGCACTGGGATTATAGATGTGAGTCACTACACCTGGCCCTTGCACAGGTTAATGAGAGCAAAGGGTTGTAAACATGCCCTGTAACCTGTAAAATGCTGTGCCTAAATGGGCTGGGTTGATGTTAAGGTCAGAGCCCTGGAAAGTCAATCTGGAAGCCAGCCCTAGACCCAGCAACTTGAGACTGGGAGTCAACTCTTGCTTGCTCTTGTGAAGAACTGAGACTGAAACCTCACATCTCTCCCCTTCTGGCTCCAGCGCTTGGCAATGAGAACTAGATGGACAACACAGGTTTAGAAATGAAAAGCAACTGCTCCTCCTGGATGCTTTATTGGGGCTTTCGGTGGTTTCTGTGCATGAGCGGCAGTGACACCAAGACCCTTTCCCAACATGCAAAAGGCACAGGAAAGTGAGACCCAACCGGGGTGGGTGGCGTGGATGCAGAGACTTCCCCCCTCCCCCCAGCTCCATGGCACGGTGTAGCACGGCGGTGACCCTGGGAGGGGGGGTATTGAAGGAGGTGGCTTGGGCGGAGGCTGGAAGGGGGACCTAGGTTTGTCCACCTCCAGATCCGCCCCTGCACTTGGGCTGGACTGACCTTCTGAGAGAGGGTCAACATGGCTTTTACTGAAAGTCCCACCTCACAGGATAGAAAAACTCAAGGTAGGAAGAGGATGATGGCTGCTGCCTTCAGAGATTTCTATTAACGCCAAACCCAACACATGGGCCAGATCTGAAGGGCAATGAGAGGGTGTGCTCATGGTGTCTGTCCCCACTGCGGCCTGGTTTTGGAGTGCCACTGCCTTGGCTCAAGCCAGTCCATGTCCAGGAGAAGCGTGAAGCCCCTTCTGATCTTCAGGGACCTCCCATGGGGTCTCCGGTTATCCAGCCCCATTCAGAGGTACCGGTTAGAGGAGTTGAGTCTTGATGTTGGCTTTGTCCTGTGGAAGAGTTCCCTGGGCAAGAGGGAAGGGGAGGCGAGGAGTCAGGCCCTCTGAGTCCCCAGCACCTCCCAGAATCTGGGCCCTGGTGGATGAAACATCCTGGGACTCATCTCAGATTCTAACCAGTCCCCACAGTTCCATCTTGAGACCTTGAATCGAAAGAAAAGGCATTCGTGTTTTGTTTCTGGTTTTTGTCTTTCTCTCTCTTGCTTCCTCTCTTTTAGTAGAGCCGTGGCCTTAAGTCACAGCATTGGCAATGTCTACTTCTAAACTATGGAATGTTTTCACACTGACGATATTATTACTCAGAACAAAGGGCGGGGAGGGCTGTCCAAGTGTTCATGAGACAGTGAGTTACTGAGAGCTCACGGGGAATCACACAGCACAGAGACACCGACAGTCAGACACCAAGCCCCAGGCCTGGCCCTAGATGTATTTTTTCTTGAGGTACCAGTAGGCAAAGTAGCCCATCCCGCCCAGGGAGCCCATGAGGAAGGACGCCCCAAAGAAGGATGGGGGTTTCCTCTTGACCAGCCGGAAAGCATTGGGGATGACGGCCGACAGCAGGGTGGTGTGGATGTCACCCAGGACTTTCCGGAAGGCAAAGCGTCTCTGGACCCTCTCAAAGAAGGACTGCAGGTTGGGCCGGCTGCCATCTTCCCAGTATTTCTTGGATAGTCCCAGGAACTTGAGGCGGTGCAGGGTGGCCCCCAGGAGGACATCAGCAAGGGTGAAGGCACAGCCACAGAGCCACAGCTCGCATTTCTGCCCTAGAGTGGAAGAGAGAGGAGGCAAGGGGATCAACCTCCCCTAACACGCACACTCACTTCTCTCTACGAGCTCCTCTGGCTTCTGCACCCCTGCCCCAGTATTTTCTGAGGGTTACTCATTCCTGTACAACTTCAGTGATTTTTGCCATATCCTTATGCTACTTCTATTATAATTTTTTTCTTTAAATTGACTTTTTTTTCTCTTTTCTTTTCTTATCCTCATTTTATAGCTGATACATCAGCTGACTTTTAAAGTGCAAATACGTGGCCAGGTGTGGTGGTTCACACCTGTAATCTCAGCACTTTGGGAGGGCAAGGTGAGCGGATCATTTGAGGTCAGGAGTTCAAGACCAGCCTGGCCACCATGGTGAAACCCCATCTATACTAAAAATATAAAAATTATCTGGGTGTGGTGGTGCACACCTGTAATCCCAGCTACTCAGGAGGCTGAGGCAGGAGAATTGCTTCAACCTGGGAGATGGAGGTTGCAGTGAGTCAAGACTGTGCCACTGCACTCTAGCCTGGGCGACAGAGCAACACTCTATCTCAAATAAATAAAGTGCAAGTATGTGTCATGAAACTCCAGACACATATGCAACTACCCCTTTGACAGCTTCATTTGGTGTACGCTCTGCATTTCAAACTCAAAATGGAATCCCTGATTGTCACCCCCAGAGCCACTATGCTCATCCCAATCTCAGTAATGGAACCTCCATCCTTGCGGTTGCTCTGCCCAAAATCCTCAGAGCCACCATGAATTCTCTTTTTTTCCTTCTTTTTTTTTTTTTTTTTGAAATAGAGTCTTGCTGTGTCACCCAGGCTGGAGTGCAGTGGCACGATCTCAGCTCACTGCAACCTCCACCTGCCAGGTTCAAGCAATTCTCCTGCTTCAGCCTCCCTAGTAGCTGGGATTACAGACGTGCACCACCATGCCCGGCTAATTTTTGTATTTTTAGTAGAGACAGGGTTTCACCATGTTGGCCAGACTGGTTTTGAATTCCTGTCCTCAGGTGATCTGCCCACCTCAGCCTCCCAAAGTGCTGGGATTACAGGCATGAGCCACTGCGCCCGGCCCCACCATGAATTCTCTTTCACCCCCCACATACAATTTGTCAGCAATTTCCAACAGTGTTATCTTCAAAATACATCCAGAATCTGATACCGCCTCTACTTGTACCGTCCTTGTCCAAACAACCATTGTCTTCTAAGTTATCATAATGTCCTTTTAAAAGTTCTCCGTTTCTGCCCTTGTCCCCTAGAATCTATTCTTGGCACAGCATCCAAAGTGGTCATGTTAAAATTTAAGTGTCGGATAACGTCACTTCTCCCTTCTCAAACCCCTCTAATGATGATGCACCTGTTGGGGCCAGAGTAAAAGCGGGAATCCTTCCAAGCCCTGTAAGGCCCTGTGTGATCTGGCCACCAGGTACCTTTCAGACCTCAGAGTCTGCTTCTCTCCCACTTCCTCACTCTTCTCCAGCCACATCAGACTCCTGTAGCTCCTCACATCTGGGACATTCCTACCACAGAGCCTTTGCCCTGGCTGTTCCCTCTGCCTCAGTCTTCTCCTGCACAGCCTCAGAGCTCATTCCTCTGCCTCCTTCACATCTTTACTCACATGCCATTTTCTCATGGGCTTCCCAGACCACCAATTTAAAATGGAAGTTTTGGCTGGGTGCCATGGCTCACACCTGTAATCCCAATCCCGACACTTTGGGAGGCCGAGATGTCTCTACTAAAAATACAAACATTAGCTGGGCATGGTGGCAGGTGCCTGTAATCCCAGCTTCTTGGGAGGCTGAGGCATGAGAATCACTTCAACCCAGGAGGCAGGGGTTGCAGTGAGCCAAGATTGTGCCACTGCACTCCAGCCTGGGCAACAAGAGCAAAACTCCGTCTCAAAATAAATAAAAATAAAAATAAAAATAAATAAAATGGAAGTTTTAAATGGAAATTATAAATTGGTGGTCTGTGAAGCCCAGGAGAAGCTGGCATGTGAGCAAAGATGTGAAGGAGGTGGAGGAAGACCTTACCCAGCAGTCACTCTCCCCTCCCCTGCTTTGTTTTCTTCCGCAGAACGTAGCGCAACATTTCACCATCTACTTGACATTCTCATTTTGTTTATTGTCTGTTGTCCTCTACTAGAGTGGAAACTCTATGAGGGCAGGGATTTTGGTCTGTCTTGTCTGTGGCTGTATCCTCTGCATCTAGAACTGTGCCTGGCGTACAATAGGTGCTCAATAAATCTTTACTGAATTATTGATGAATGAAAAAATAAACTGTATCATTAACTGTAGTATTAAATGCTTCGCTATAAACTATCTACAATGGTAAAAGTAAACATAACAAAAACAAAACAAAAGTAATTAAATTCCAGCTGGATACTACTGCCTGTCAAGGTCTCTGCACCCAAGACTTTCTCTCTCTTTTTCTTTCTTTTCTTCCTTCCTTCCTTTTTCTTTCTTTCTTTCTCTTTCTTTCTTTCTTTCTTTCTCTTTCTTTTTCTTTCTTTCTCGTTCTTTCTTTCTTTCTCTTTCTTTCCTTCCTTCCTTTCTTTCTTTCTTTCTTTCTTTCTTTCTTTCTTTCTTTCTTTCTTTCTTTCTTTCTTTCTTTCTTTCTCCTTCTTCCCTCCATCCCTCCCTCCCTGCTTGCTTGCTTTCTCTCTCTCTCTTTCTTTCTCTCTCTCTCTCTCTCTTTCTTTCTTTCGACAAAGTCTCACTCTGTCACCCATGCTGGAGTGCAGTGGTGCAATCTCAGTTCACTGCAACCTCCACCTCCAGGGTTCAAACAATTCTTCAGCCTCAGCCTCCCAAGTAGCGGGGACTACAGGTGTGCACCACCATGCCTGGCTATTTTTTTTTTTTTTTTTTTGGTATTTTTTACTAGAGACAGGGTTTTGCCACATTGGCCAGGCTGGTCTCGAACTCCTGACCTTAGATGATCCGCCTGCCTCAGCGTCCCTAAGTGCTGGGATTACAGGTGTGAGCCACCATACCTGGCCTCATTTTGTTTTTAAGAAAGGAGCAGATATTAAACACATGTTATAAAGGGGTTAAGCACTAATATCTTACTAATACTCTTTCTTTGATGTAATCAAAAGAGGATAACTCTCACGACGTGGTTTTACATTATTTATCACCATGTTTTTGTGTCATCTAAATTTAGCCTGACTCTCGCATTTGGGATTAAGAAAGAAACAATTAGCCTCATTTTTAGGAAACACTTGTTTGTGCAATATTTTCTCCTAGTTGTTTTGACCTGAAATTCTGGAGCCCCTTTGGTCTCTTACATCACCTCTTTGCTCAAAAATCTTTAATTCTCCCCACTGACTGCACCTTAATGTCTAAGTTCCTGTGCCTAGCTATTAAGCCCTTTCGAGAGTGAGTTTAGCTTTAATATACGTCTCTAATCTTGACTTCTCATGAATTGCCCATTGGTCCACTGTCTTCCCCAACAAGCTGCCCGCTTCAGCCTCCGGGCCTTTGTCCCTGCTGTACCCCATGCCCGAATGCCTCTCCCTTCCCTTCCTGTGAGGGCTGCTTTCCTGGGAGGCTTGCCTCTGCACCTTTGAACAGGTTGCTCCTTTCAGTTCAGGAATTCCATGAATCCAGTGCTCCCTACCATCAAAACCTGAGCCCCCTCCTTCCGCTCTGCATCTTCTGGGTCACGGATTCATTCATTCAGCAAGTGGTTACCTGGCAGTATGTGCTGGGCGTGAAGACATGACACAATACAATGTCTCCCCTCAAGAGGGTCACCGTCACGGTGAAGGGCTAAAGTGTAATGCAGGCTCTCATCAGAAGGTTATCCGTGAATAGGTAACCTTCAAGGCACCTGATGAGGCCGGGCGCAGTGGCTCACATCTCTCTCCCTTACTTTAGGAGGCTAAGGCAGGAGGATTGCTTGAGCACAGGAGTTTGAGACCAGCCTGGGCAACATGGCGAGACCCTCTTCTCTACAAAAAAAAAATTAAAAATAGCCGAATTGGTAGCATGCATGCCTGTGGTACCAGCTACTAGGGAGGCTGAAAGAGGAGGTTGGCTTGATCCCGGAAGGTTGAGGTTGCAGTGAGCCTTTTTCACACCACTGCACTCCAGTCTGGGTGACAGAGTGAGACCCTGTCTCAAAAACAAACAACGAAGACACCTGATGGGCCCCCGAGGGGAGATAATGAGTTGGGAGTTAGTGATGCAGGTTCCAGGCTCAGAGAAGCACCGTCAATGTGGAGGTGGTATTTAAAGCCAGGAGAGTGGACAGTATCAGTATATCCAGACTTGGAAATAGGGCAAGGGACTGAACCCTGGGTCCCCCCACAAACTTTAGATATTGACACCAAGAGAAACCAGCAAAGATGACAAGAAGGAGCGGCCTTTGAGGTAGGAGAAGAACCAGGAGAGTGTGGCGTCCAGCAAGCCAACTTAGGACAGGGTTCTGAGGAGGAGACAGTGTTCAACTGTGTTCAAACGCTGTGTTGAGGTCAAATAGGAGGCCTGAGAACTGGTGACTGCGTTTACCGACTGGCGACCCTGGCAAGAGGAGCTGGAGTAGAATGCTGACTTAAAAGCCGGTTTGGAGGGAGTTCAAAGAGAAAGGGAGGAGAGGAATTGGAGACAGGGAACAGAGATCATTCTGCCATGGAGTTTTGCTAGAATGGGGAGGATGGGCCAGTAGTGAGATACAAGTCAAGAGCATTTTCATAAGCTGGGAGGAATAAAATAGCATGTGTTTGTGGATGATGCCGCAGAGAAGGGAAAGATTCTATGGGGAAGAGTGGATAGAATGATGGATGTGGTGTTCTTACAGGGATGAGAGTGGATGGGATCTGGTGCACTAGGACAGGGATTGGTTTTAAAGGACAACCCCTTCCATCCTTGGACAAGGACAAGAACAGTCCATCCCTGGTAACAAGAGAGCACATGTGCTACCGTATTTCATCAAATCTAAGTTACTATTAAATGTAAGTATCCAAAAGTAAGAAAGGAGAATCAAACTATTGACTG